TGTTTAGATTACCGTCTTTGAAGTCTTTTGAATGTAGTCTGCAAAAATGCTCTTCCCTTCACCCGTGCGAGGATAAAACTCAGATTAAAATGTCCTTTTTGTGAGGAGAGAGCCTCCAAAATATATACCTTTACCTCTGCAGAGAGATGAAGAAAAGGAGGTGTGTGTCGAAGAGGGTAAAAGAAGTAAGAGAAATACTGAGTGGAATAAAAGTGAGCATACAGCTCGGCTCAGTGGCATACCGAATGAGCTGTCGTTGTTTCAAAGGAGAGACAAATTGTTTTATTAACCAAGGAGGTCGTTTTTAAAAGCACGGCCCTGCTGATTGGAAGGAGTTGGAAGGCGACACAAAAGCGCACCGCTGCTACCGTGGATCCACAGTTAAAAACAAAGCCAATACCATCGCCACTCACGCTGCAGGAGTATTATCAAACTCTCCAACAATGATCATTCTTTGGTGACAGATGTATAGTACACTCTGAAATTATACCTCCGAGAAGTTAAGAGAGGAGTTTAAGCAGTGCAAAGACTCGGAGAGAGAGAGAGAGCAGCAGTGTTCCCACACAGAGCTGAAGGAAAAAGTCAGATTTCTTCTTTTTCACACGCATCAATTTACATGCACGCCACTCGTCCAACCCGTGTTTTCCCAGACGTGGATAATCAGCATATTAGTGTAACTGAGAGGGCTGTTGATGACGAAGGGATTGGACGACGGTTTAGAGTCCAGACAAGATCCAGGGGGGCATCTCCATAACATTCCCTGTATGTGCACACAGCTTTGCAGCCGGGGATAAAGCTTATGATGGTTGATTAGCAGCGCCATGACGGCTGCGAAATGATTACCCAGAGAGAAGGGGAAGCCATTTTTGCTGTGCAGACCCAATAATCAAATCAACCTACAGCATCTCCCAACCATCAACTGTTATGGCACGTGTCCAGGGCTGCCCGCCGCATGTACACAGCCTGGGATGAACCCTGGAGACGAGGCTGATGCGTTTTTGTTGCATGGCAGCTCTTCAGTTTTGCTGCGCGCTTACTTCACTCTGCAGGATTTTGTTAAATCTTTAAGCAGGCGCAGACATATCCATGACATGTATCAGACGGGAGATGTAACGCAGAGGACATAAACAAAGACTTGATTCTGGCGTGTGCTTGTGCAGATGACAGCTGAATGATGTTTCTGCAAGAATGCCAATACAAGGCAATTTAAACTGTCTGTGATACATCTGTCTGGCGTTCAAACTCCACCCTATATCCATATATTTTTGCTAGTTTTTTTATCATCTTATCTTCGTCACCCAGCTTTTATATCTGTCTGCTCTCAGCGGGCGTCTGAACACACTCCCTTGAACCAAAAAACAGTCTTGAAAACATTGTTTACAAGTAACATAAATGCACGGTGTTGGTTAGGCCTTGGATGATAGAAAGACAGCTCTCTCTTGTTGATCGTAATGGGGGAGAGGGGCCTAGAGGGGCTTCAATAATCCCCTGTCCCTGGCATCTTGGCATTGTTACTGACAGCCTTCCACCCCCTTGCAGCGTGCTCTCTCTCTCACTCACACACACACACACTCACACAGGTGAGCGCTAGCTGCCAGTATCTGTTCGGTTTCTAAGAGTGGACACCCACCAGTCCGAGTCCAGAATGCCCGCAGCAGCTGGCAGACTGCTATTTTCCCAGCACGCTCTCTTAACAAAGTTTTTTTTCCCCCCTTTTTTAAGAGGCAACAGGGGAAGTGGGATTTTTTCACACTTGAAAAGATGCTCCTATAAAAATATCGGAGGGAAGAAGGACTGGAGAGGTAGAAATGCACTGGGGAGTTGGAAAAAGCCACATGTAGGGAGCCCTGAGTGCATTATAGCTGATGAGAGAGAGTAAAGAAAGTGATGATTAGAGCAGAGGGATGTAGAAAACAGTGGAAAGAGAGCAAACATAAATAAGTCGAGGGAAGGAGAAACATCTTCAGACCATCTTGCAGTTCTGTATGTCACTGCAAACATACACAAAACATTTGATTCCTTAAAATTGAGACATCTCTACCCTCCAAAGTCTCTCTCTCTCTCTCTGTCTGTCTCTCTCTCTCTTTCTCCCTCTCTTTTTATCCATCCATCTGCCTCTCTGTCTCACTGAGAGCGGCAAGAATAAGAGGCAGAAAAGTGATTTCCACATAACAGATTGTTACGACTGTCACTATATCCCCTGATTTACACAGTCACAGAGGGGGAGGCAGACAAATGCATTTTCACTGTTTACATCCCCGCAAACACACACATCAAACCCTCACACACGCACCGGCATCTAAGTAAAATTTCTCTCACACAGATACACTCTGACAGAAAAAGTAAGCGAGCACGCCGCCTGCCATCCGACCCCCTGCTAAATCTATTACCCCTGTCTCATCTTGTTGAAATGGAGTCCTACCTGGCAAAAACAGCAGCATTCGCGCAAGCTTCAAATATACTGCACTCATATACCAACTGAAACTTATTGTTCTCAAACAGATTTGCATGAGATTGTTTGAGCTGGTTGGGGGAAAAAAAAAAAAAGAAAAACAGCCTCTGAAGTGGTTTGTTTTGTCTTGCACGGCGTTCTTTTCATAAGGTTCGCACCGATATGCGCATGAAAAACAATGCATGCGTGTTTCCAGCCAGCTTCAGCGTTTGGCGCATCTCTATTTTTCTGCATTCATTTGTTTTGTGTTCAGGAGACGCAGGTCTGCAGAATAATCACCTGGAGTCTTTGTCTCATCAAATCATTTCTGTAGAAAGGTTCAGGAGGAAAATAACACATCACAAAGTATGAGCATCATAAGGCCATTACGATGTCAACTGTGAAAAAAAAAAGAGAATAAAACCCAAACTAAGGTCTAAACAGAGTTTTTCCCCCAGTTTTGCCCCGGTATCATTTCCATTCCCCTCAACAAAACCAAAATGAGGTTTAGATACAAAGCCTGGGCCATGGGTTCCTAATAGATTTACCCTGATGCCACGGCCACCATTTATCCTGCTCCAAAGCCGCACAATGCAACCGAGTGCTCCTGAATAGCATGGGCAATTACAGTGCATGTGTGTGTTTTTTTTTATGTGTGTGAGTGCGTGCGTGTGTGCGTTTTGCTCTCTCTTTTCCAATTCCAAAACCCCCACTACTCCATCCCCCCATTCTCTGCACACATAAACACACACACACGCACAAACACAGACACACACATATACTCACACACCTTAAAGCAGATGTAATAGCATGAAACTACGCAGCCATGTGCACTTTGCTCTTTGTAGAAGCCCAGGTGGTTACCATGGCAATGTTTTTTTTTTCTTCCTTTTTTTGGCTTACCCTAACATTTTATTACCCATCATTATGTATCATTAAATACATACATATTAATGTAAAAACAGGGGTGATGGGGATGGGGGGAGGAGTAAGTGTGAAATTGGGGGTATATCTACAAAGAAGGAAACACCTGAAAGAGACCTTTGGTGGTTTGATGTCTCTTTGCAATAGAATTCAAATATGAAAATCTCTCTGTGTGTTTTTTTCACCAAAGGATTCAGTCAGGGGCTTGTTTACAAAATGCAAAATTACACTAGAAAGGTAGTCCCACAGGATCAAAGGGATACATAATACATGTATTGATGGCTTTAATAAGAGTCTTTCATAAGCTTACTTAGCAGTTGGCTTGATATTAATGAGCGCAGACTAATTTGAACAGGAGCCTCAGCGCAGCAATTTCACACTCAGATAAGTAACTTCTGCCAGAAACATTTTCAAACAGCATCAACCTTAATCCTCATGAGACTCTATGCTGTTTATGGTATTTTACAAAACATTCAAAGATGAATTTTCTGGAACTATGAGTGACACATCCCTCCGCAGACAAGTTTATAGAGTATATCCTCAATAACGAGAGTTTTCTGAAGAGTCACGTATTCAGATTCTAAATCAAAACTTTATCAACATATGCTTCAATTACAACAACTGAAATTTTTAGATGGGTTGATTGTTTTTTTCTACATAGCCATCAACATAATTTGCCTTTATGCTCAACAGTTTCCTTATCAATGTCCTTTACTTATCTGTGTCTTGTTAAACAACATCACAAGAGGCAGTCAGCCAATACAACAACCAATGAAGAGGTCATAGCAGTCAGAAGACAGGAGTTGCTCTGCTATGTATGAAACTTTGGACTGGAATTTAGCACCAGGTTCTCCAAAAACATGAGGTGCAAGAAAGAAGAGATGCAACCATCGCCTCGCTACCCTGTAAAATCCACTTATTTTGTGAGACCGACAACTTTTCGACAATAAACTTTGCATGTTTCTGTGACACTCTGGTGCTTTTCAATCCCACAGAGATGATCTGAAATGATATTTTCAGAGATTATCCCAGCCCAATCCCTCAAACACAAGGATGATCTGTAATGATTTACGCATTAATTTTAATGATTAAGTGGGATTTCTATTCTTAGTTTATGCTGCTAAATAAAGACTACCATCTCCCTTATGGCCAGTCAGCCAACCAGAGGCTGTATCTATGATCAGCTGATCTTCAAAGGCCCAATCAGAGGCCAGACTCCCTCATCTCAAGAGAAGTCGACACAGAAAACCTGTAAAGACCTGCTTTGTCCACACAGAAAATCCACAATAAAGAATTGAATCCATTAGCAGAGTTGATGATGGCGTCTGAATTAATCAAATCTTATCAATGCCCATCCCTGAGAACTGGACAGTTCACTTATTGGAGACTAGAGGTTCTTGTCAACAGTGAGCTTTAGCATGGTACCTTTAATCCACGTCTATCCTCTCAGGGATAAAACTAATTTTAGATATTATGACAGTCTTGTAGTTGGTTTTGATCGTCACTATGGATTTCAGTCTGTTTTGCAACCAGCTAAGAACTTTTCACAAGTGCTTTAAGTATACATTTCTACTGTACAACCAGGCACTTCTGTCAAACACCAGATATTAAAAGACAAAATCAAAAACAATAACTCATCCATCCCCTAATCCATTACTCTAGCCAGCAGCATTGTGGCCTCATTCAACAGCTGTGAGTCTGTGTGGGCATGGACGAAATACCTCATCAAGTCCTCCAGTGACTCCGAGCCTCTGTTGTTCCCCTGTCGTTCCTTTTGACGGTGCAATACTGTAAAGAGAAAAACAAGAATGCACGCTGAGCTTTAGAATCTGATAAGAAAAAGAAAACACATGTATACTGAATGACAATAGAAGAGCTTCTTTTCCAAAGCAGCACACACAAAAGAGAGGAGAAAAAAATCACATAGGTGACATCCTACCTTTTTTTTTCTCGGTAAATGGCTTTCCGCTTTGTGGGACAAGCCCTCCTGGGCAGAACTTCCTGCAAGACAATCAGCAGCATTTGTGAATAAAGCTTTTCATACACCAAGTTATTCCAGTGAACCACGCTGCAATGTGCAGAAATGCTGCAGAGAAGTGGACAAATCTATTCAATACTCTCTGGAGTAGAAGACCTTTGCCTTATAGCAGACTACATTATAACTTTTTCAGAGCAAAGGGACATCACCCGAACATAAACTCAGATTGCATTACCACAAATCGCATTAATAAGAATACAAAGAGTAAAGTTATTAATAAAAGTAATAATCAAACACACTTGTGAGAACAAGAACCCAGAGGACACACTATAGGAAACAGGAGAATACCACACAAAGCAAAGGATCATAACCATGAAACCCCAGAATGATCCAAATGAACTCTAAGCAAACATTGTTCACGACAAGTTTAAGTTTGTGAACCTGTTAACTTACCTTTGCTGCCACGCTGAACTTACTCACTTCACAGACTAGTTTTTGTAGGTTATTTTGAGGCCTTCCGGTGATTCTTACTACAGCGTCTTTGCTGTTGATGCAGTCATGCCTAAGGGTTTCAGCCATCCATCGTTGGTGTTTGGCTTTGGCCCTTCTTTTGTACAGAGATTTTTCCAGATTCTCTCAATCTTTAAATACTTGTAGGGCTGGGTGATAAAACAATAACGATATATATCAAAAATTAATTTCCCTAAAAATCAATATAAAACATGGTCAATATGCTTTCCGATAGTCGGCATTCTGCCATGTTTTGGTAGACTATACGAATAGCCAGTGAAAATGGGGGTTGCTCTGGGTCGAATTCACGTTGAACCAGTCATGCTGAATTAGAACCAAGTAGCAAAGAACTACGTAGTAGCAGGATGCATCTACACAAAACCGTAGCACTTAAACACGTGAAGCCCGCAGATTCTTGGCAACATTGTGGTGAGGGATTATTCTGAAATTATTAGACTGTTTGCTCTCACAGTCTCTCACTGACACCCTGAACAAATTCAGTTTGAAAAAGTAAGAAATGCAAATACCACAGAAATCATCCAGAGCTTTTGTTAATAAAACACAGAGCGTATGATGCGCTGGTATAAGGAGTAGGGCCTTCTGCATGTGAACACCAGGGGACTGTAAGTACATGGGTAATCCGTGGTATTAATGGGCACAAATAGATCCTTAACAACTCATTACAGTACCCCACAGTGCACTTGTTGATGCATTTCATTATCCCTCCTATGGTATAAGTGTTATATGATTATGATTTTTAGCCTCCAGGAAGTACTTTAAAGTTTTTGCTGCTATATTCTCTCAAGCTTGATCACTGAATGAAGTTATTTCAGCAAGGGTTTATTCTTATGCGCACTTAGTTTGTACTATACTGAGTCTATGGACATCAGAATAAAAGCCTTCGTTTCTTCCTTGGAGCTATTCTTTGCTTGCGGTAAATGGTTCCTATACTTTACTTCCAGCTTCTTCCAGCCCATCTGTGCTTTGTGCCAGGAAGGATAAAGGTGCAGAGAGAATTTCATGACTACAAAAGCAAAGGTTAACATTACTCACAGCATAAAAACAATTTAAAAGGGAGCAAAAGGGCTCTAATGGCCCGACAGTCTTCAAAGAAAATGTATTTTGCGCTCAAAATAATTCATAGCTTTTTGCCGGTGGCTTTTCAGCTTCCCGGAGACCCAGCATGAACCACTGTATTTTTCCCAGCAGGCTCTCTGCTCCTCGCAAAATGGCCTTCGCTAGGGCATACCTCACATCCCCTACAAATATTGACAGCAGCGAGTCCATCTCTTATTGGAAAAATGGCTGTAAGTAATGTTTTATCAGCCGATGCAATCTCCACACCTGTATTTTCCCCTGTCATATGACAATATTTGACAAGATTAATGATTTGATCCCATGACATTTTATTTTCCATCACTGTCAATCTGCCAGCAAACAACTCGCTTACTTGTGGCATTTTGGTGGAGAAAGCATGCAGCAGCATGTGCTTCGCTTGTGTATTATTCATGAGTTGCAAAATTTACCTGAGACATGTAAACTACAGCATCTCCTAGCTTTGGCATGAAACTCTTGACTGTTTAAAGGGGATAGTCATTTAAAATTACCTGCGGTGAGGGGATTTTACTTTGAAAAGACATCTATTTTTAGCATCAAACTCAAAAAGGATCCCTGCAGCCACGACAAAATAAGTGGGTAATAATGATAAACCTTGCAACCTTTGAACCTCAGAGGCTGGAGGGGTCTCCTGCCCATATCCCCAAGGGCCCACGTGTCGTGACAGCTTGAGCGATGAGTGGCGGACTGCTGTCTCAATCCACCGCCTACTATTTTTAACCCACACTAAACACAGAGCTTCAAATAGGCTCGAGCTCTAAACAAATGATTAATAGGGCACTTAGGGTCTCCTCACTGACCAGCGTGTCTCTATTAACAGCCAATAACTGAGGCCCCAAAGGGTCAAAGGTTTAAAGACTTTCTAATAAAAGTAACAGAGACATGGGGATGTGTTTTGGAGGGGAAAAAGTTGTGTCTTAGTTTGAAATGCTGACAAGTTAATAATCCCTTCTCAAATGGCCCTACCACAGTAAAATGGCCAGTTTGTTCTTACTTTTATTGCTATCATCTGTCAGTCACTCACATCTCTTCCTTTCTTTCCCCGGGTCTCCTTAAGTGGACTGAAAGAGCTAAAATAGCTGTACAGTGATGCTCTTTCTGAGGCTTTATTCTCTTCCCCGACTCTTTCTTTCCCTTTTTGCTGAAATCTGAATTCTCATTGTAATTTTAGGCAGGAAATGCTTAATGGATTCCCAAAGATGTATTCATGACATGGTAATGAGATTCAAATTTGTAAGACATTTATGACCTGAAAAAAGACGCTGCTTGTCTGGCACAGGCTTTGTCCTGTTTTCCACAACTCAAGAAAACCATTTTTCAGTCACTTTTACTATTCCTAGTGTCATTTTTCAATGAGTGGTTTGTAGACAAAAGCCAAAAGAGTTTAAATTGAGAAATGACTGGGGAATACATTGTTCACTTACTGCCAAAACAGGGTTTTCTTGGCTTCATCAAGCAAGGATCTGAGGCAACTGCACTGTATTGTCCTGTTATATAAAGTACAGAAATAATGGTATTTTATAGAGAAAGCAACCTAAGAGGCATGTTTATGAGGACGCAGTTCATTTCAACACATAAACTGACAAATAAAGTCGTAGTTAGCTTTTAGTCAATTCAAATAAATCTGCCTGAAATGAAACATATTAACTTGCCACCAAAATAGTTCCTGCCTGATCTATTTACAATCTTGTTTTTCAAAACCTACAGTGCCCACTTATTTTGCAAAGCCTTGTTATAAACTGTAATAACTTTTTACTCAGCCTTCATCCAACTGTGTTTAACACTTGATCCTGATTCGCCGAAACTACACCTCAAGGAATTCATTTTCGACAGCCAAAGCAACATTTGGGACAAACTAACCACCTGTCAGATCGACCCAAATAAGGAAATCTGGCGCAATTCACCCAAGCCTGTTGACACTGTGGCAAGTTAGTTGGTACTATTCCCAGTCAGCTGGGTAAGCAACATGGGGGATATCTTGATTCTGAATCTTGTTGATCCAAGCAGCAACAAACACTGTGTTTAAAGTTTGAGATTTGTCTTATTTTTGTTTGAGGGAGTGTTAACACCAGAGCTCCAAAAAGAAGGAGGTACTTCTTCCCTGCTCTCATGTAGTCCTCAATGGCAACATGTAATGTAAATTGACTTGACCATTAATTTCAGTGGTCAGTGCCTGTATATTTGTCGCACAATTAGGCCGATATAAATCAGGTACAATGCAAGTTTTACCAACCATGAAAACTCAAGCTGTACACAAAAATTATTTTTAGAATCAATAAAATTCTCTGCCAATCATCTTGGGTCCATTTTTTAAAGCTTTAGCCAGTCGCTGGATGATAAGCAGGCAAATATGTAGTCAACAGGTGTTTATGCGAACTAGAACCTCAGAAGAGTGAGCGGGACCCTGATGCAAAGTGGAGGAATTCTAACTTGCACAACCACCCGTTTACTATACATTATTCCTAACATATTTCAAGGCCAATTTTAAAGATCAGGAAGAACAGATAGGCTTGGGAATTTGAGCCAAGGATGGAAAGCAACAAAGTATTATCCTGTGGAGGATCAAGATTCTTGGTTTGGTCTATCTTCAGGATCTGTTCATCACCCGAATAGGCTGGATAAAAAAGGATTATGCCAAAATCTAACTCTAAGCTCCCACTTGGGTGGCCCTATTAAACTTAATTTCTTACATCATTTCCTTTTTAAATATATTATTTCAGATCATGTTCTTAACTAGATGTGTCATTTATGAGGAGCTGAATGCCTTGCTCATGGACACACTAGCCGGATAAGTGGGTACTAATGGATATAGTGGCTACAAACCTGCCCCCACTTCACTACAACCACTTTACTGACCCCTATGATTAAGTACATTTGAGGTAAGAACCAAAATGGATACCAGAATGTTTTCATTTTGCCCAGCATTTGAAAAAAAATTAACTTAGCTATTGCCAAAGTTTGAGTTTTTTATGACTCAAAAATGTTAGGATGAGTTAAATCTCATAATTAATCTTCCTGGCTGCAAATGATTTTCTTTTTTTCTTTTTTCTTCCTGTCTTGTGGACACTGTTTCTCCATGGTAAATATGTCTGCTAATACACAAAATCTATTATGTCCTTCCTTTGTCAGTCATATAGGGTGCCTATTAACAGAATTATATACATAGTTGACTTTGTTTGTATGGTCCTTGCTGTCTGTTGAACAATAAAAGAAAAAAACAGCCTCTTTTAATCTACTTTCATTTCTCCAACCAGTTGGTTGTCAAACACCATCCTTAATCATCAGACAAAACATGCAGTGCATTAAAGTGGCATTCTTGTAAACACCATATCTGTAATGGCTTGTGACAAGCCGGCCTTTGTTTACACCATAATAACTGGGTGTTTGAATAACTTCTCAATGACTTTAAGTAACCAGCCAGACTCACTCTGCATCCATTCAGCCGTGCAGCCTGATAACCCAGACTGACGTTTGGCACAGAGCAGCCTGTGGATTATACCAAACAGTAAGGCTGAATGGACCTCTCAGTCATTTCAACCTGCGGTCCTGAGACATGAGAGTGCATTTCCTGTGCACACATTGCGGATGCAGTGTACATCCGCTTGTCTCATTATGCAAATGTTGATGTGTGCATTCATAAATATATGAGAGGGGTGAGGTTAACATTACCCCTACCTACCAGAGGTGACTGAAGGCATAGACACACTTTACTGTGGTACTGGGACACACACTTGTCTACAAAAAGACTCCAGTAACAGAGGAACTATTTACTTAGTATGAAGGTAGAAAGTGGCCTTCTGAGGTGGCTTTCTGCAAACTATATTGGGATTGACAACAGCTTTCTTTTAGTAATAATCATAAAGCTTTTTTTTTTGTAAAATAGATAAATGAAAATATGATAATACCATGAGTTTATAGGCCTACATGTGGTTTTCTTACCTGGTTGCCACATCCTGTTGGTGCCCTCCAAGTTGGACAACACTGCCTATTAGAAAACAGGGTAGAAAGACAGCTAGTAAGCTAGCTTTGAGAGATGATTCAGCACTTTTAAAAGCTGATATTCAAAGATTTATTGTGAATCTTAAGACAAAGTTAGAGCTTGTGCGTCTTTAAGTTACTATTCAATTAAACATTAATACTTCCTAATTGCTCTTTAAAACCTTCCTCACCGCTCACAGAAATAGTAAATTTCAAAATAAAAGCATAATTTCACAATGCTGGCTGAACGCAAGGCAGAAACAAATATCAAAATAAAAGAATGGCAAACAATTGTTTTATGAGGCAATGTGTTCTCCAAAAGAAGTTTTAGTTACAGGGAGCTGATGTATATTATTCATACATTTGAAATGGAGCATATTGGATAAGTTCATGAGGAAATGTTATTTTCTTTTCTTTTCTTTTTACCTCTGCCAAGGAGGTTACGTTTTTGGTAGCCTTGGTTCGTTTGTTTGTTTGTTTGTTTGTTTGTTTGTCTGTTAGCAACTTTACGGAGAACGTTACAGACAGATTGACCTGAAATTTTCACCAGAGGTGCATCTCAGCCCCAGGAGGATCCCATTACATTTTGGTTGTGATCCGGATCGCCTTCTGGATACAGGATCACCAATTTTTTGAAGGATCCTTTATCATTGTGAGATAGGGCAAATTTTGGAATTTTTGCATTTAACTGTATAAAAATGTCCAGAGTCTTCAGTAGAAATTTACACAAAAGGATCTCAATGAGTTTTATTAGTTGTCAAAGGCTGATCCTGATCCAGACAAAATTCTGGATACTGTGATCCAGAACACACAAAAATAAGGGTGTTGTTGGAAATTTCAATGCTGAAAGATAACCAATGGGCGGCACAGTGGTGTAGTGGTTAGCACTGTCGCCTCACAGTAAGAAGGTCTTGGGTTTGAATCAGGGTCAGGGCATTTCTTGTTTTAGGAACATTATGAACAGTGAACATACCAGTTAAAACACAAATAAATGTTAATAAAAGACACGTAACAGTAAAAGTTTTGGGGTGAATCACAATATAAGGGGGGGCATGAGCTGCTTGGAGGAGGTCTGCGCTCTCTGAGTGCTTTTCTAGTTTTTTTTATGAATTACATGCTAATAATTATATTGTGATAATTATGAGGTTGAAATGAGTCATGATGTAGAGGAGGTGCGGCACCATGATGCAAAATTAAAATAACTTTTAAGATAAATCTTAAATGAAGCAGAAAGATTATGTCTAGAGTAAAAATGCTGCATAAAATGTAGTCAAGCCAAAGTAAGTAGTCAAGTAACACAGATATCTTAGAAACTACTCAAGTGACATATCTGGACTCCTTTGCTCCTCTTTCATCCACATACTAATCTATTTGAAGCACCGGCTTGCATCAGACTCTTCCCTCTTTTCCATCTGCTCCTTTATACCTCAAGGCGGCCTGTCTTCGCCGTAGCTTCTGGATGAATCTGTTTAGTATCTTTCAGCTCATATGAAGCCCAACACTAACCATGCTCCGGGGCATCTGGGCTGGAATGAGGGGCCAAGCAAAGCATGGAAAAGGGCTGGACTGGAGCTTTGAGATGGTCCAGACCGGCTGTAGCCCAGACTCAAGCCTCTCTTCCACAACAACAAGGACCCACACCGAAGCACGCTCAGACCCTGCAACCCGAGAGGGCACAGAGGTCCTCAAGCCTGCCTGGGTTTGGGGATAAATGAACCCAGATGCTTCCCGCAAGCGCCGAGCGACCAGGCTGAGGGGGGAAGAGGGCTGGAGAGAATAAGGTGGTAGGGACAGAAAAAGAGGAGACTTACCTCTTTTTTTTCCTTCTTACCCTGGTTGAGGCAGTTATCTGTCAGATTCCTGCGCTTTCTCATAACCACTTATCACAGAGGCCTCCGTGCAGGGAGAATTGTGGGAAATGATCAGAGGGGCATTTGTCTTTGAAGGAGAATGAGAGCAGCGGCAAATCTTTAAGTCCTTTCCTGTTCCCCTTCCTGTCAAGCTGCCACCTGGACGGAGAGAGGAGGGAGTGAGTGAGAGAGAGAGAGAGAGAGGGAAAGAGAGGGAGAGGTGGATGCATTCGTCTGAATGACTTAATTAAAGTTCAAGTTGGGGAAGGAGTTTAAAATGTAACAAGAATAAGTGAGAGTGATGGAGTGTTTAAGGAGGATTTGTTTCATACATGTGGGTTAGCAGCTCATCTGTTCAAGCTGTCATCCTGCTCATGGTTGCCATGATTTAAGCAATATGGCGACCTATGGATGATCATCAGATTACAACTTTGGGGGCGTCTATTTTAGACGTTCATTATGCAGATAATGATAATAATAATGAACAAAGGATGCCAAGAAAAAGACTTCCTCTGTCATGCTGAGAGTCTAAATTTAGAATCTGACCAATTTTATGTTTGCACTTTAACCTTTGTATTTATAATATGAGCTCCAACAACAGCAGATGGTTTTAAGGATAAAATTATAGCAGCAGCCACGTAGCTTAGCTTGGAGAGGAAAACTGGAAAAAAGGGAAACCATTAGACTTCCTCTTTCCAACAGTACCAAAAAAAATCTTGATTATTAAACTACAGGATAATAATTTTTGCTCCATTCTATTTCTAACACAGTGGAAAATCATGGCAACAACTTTTTCTTTCAATATATCTAAATCTGAGGGAGCTACATTTGGACACCACTTATTAATTGTATAAAAACTTAGAACTAAGTATGCTTTTAAAAAGATGACCAAAAGCAAATGATATCACATTAAAAGTTTAAATAAAATGGAAATTAAAAAAAAAAAATGAAATCTTCAAACTCACATTATTTTGGCTATAAGAGAGTGTCATGGTAACAAAGTCGACAACTAGCCACAAATTAAAACATAATTATATATATATATTATAACACAATTATATTCATCTTCCCCCACTCATAAGCCTATTAATTAATTGTTTATGTTGACAGCCAACTAACACACTGTAATTCATTATTTAAAGCACATGATTGGTTTTTGTTCAACTGGAATCAAACATTGTGAAGCACCCATCGTGATACTTCTTAACATAATGATCAAATGTATTTTGTTGTCTTTTTCTATCCCTCATCATAGCATCTCTTGCCATTTTACACACAAATGTCAGCTTCAGATGATGATATCTAACACTGACATCAAGTCTAAATATGGTCTAATTGGCAGAACTTACCCTTTAGTTTGTGATGTCCACAGTGGCATTTTCACACTGGAAAAAAATGCACAGGACAGCATGACCCAAAATTACAACAGAAGTATTATTAATGCCTTATTTAGCAGAAAATAATTTTATTATCTGATTCTCTAAAATTAAAAAGAAGATGCATCTCCCTCACCAGCTGTCATTTTTCTAAACTTTTGATCCCGTATCGCAAACTGACTAGAAGATAACTTTTTGAGTGTGTACTAACATAAAGTTGGTACACGGTACCACCACCCAAATAGTAACGACTGGCATCCAGATTTCTGCCCACAATGTGGACACTGTGCATGTAAGTGTAATTAATGATTATTGAACAGAGACTCATGCCTTTGGGTGCCTTTGGAGAGCAAAGGTATGCAGGACACCCATGGTCATAATGCTATCCTGATGCCCACTGGCAGTAACCTGACAATAATTAAGTCAGATATCTTTAGGCAACTGCAGTTAACAGACTTTTGGATTAAGCAATTTATTCCTTCAATTATTCTGCCAAACTGAGATAACCAGCTCTATTTAATAGAATCATTTCGTTAAGTGTGATTTAAAAATCTTGTCAACAAATTTTTGTGCATAACTGCATTTCTACCATCACTTTGAGATAGCAGGTTTGTATCGTGTCACCTTAGCTCTCATACTGCTGTTTTTTTTTTTTTGCTCAAAAGTACTTAACTGTGCATAACATATGATTCTTGCAACACAATATAACAACAGTAATCAGTTGCTGAAAAGAGCCACAAATAAAGCTCTGACTGCTGCTTTTTGTGTAACAAAAATAACAGTAATGATCGAGAGCATGAACTAACAGTAAGCACCTCTCAAAACAACTTCTATCAAACTAACTCTTTCCCCCCTTTCCAACTGTAACCTTATCTTCAACCAGAGCTGGTTGGTGCAGCTTAATAACATTAGCTTTATGAAAACACTGGGATGCAGATAAGTTTATTGCTCCTTTTGCTCAGTAGAGCTTCAAAGTTCATGTTTCACCGCAGACTACACCGCTGTGTTCCTCACCAGGGACCTCAGGAGTAACCTGTGTCACCAACAATCTGCCACTCTCTCCTGATGTCATCCAGATGCCCCATCCTGAAACACACACCGGCCTCTTTGTTTGCACCACTTTAGATTTTTTTTCACCAAGTTAGACATGCACTGACAAATGCACAGATGCATGTGCGATTAAACTAATTTAACGGTCCGAAGAGGCACTTCTTTAAACCAGCATGTTATTCACCCACACATGAGCACACACCCACACTCACAAACCACCCCCTGTCTGAGGCAGATGCAGCTACAAGGAATCAACAACAAATTTCCTCTTTCGTTCCACTAAGTCTCGCCTGTTTTAGCTCACTCCTAACCTGCCTTGCCATGTCGGAAGACCAAGAGTTAAATTAGAGAGGACTAAATTTCCTGAAATGAAATGACTGTCAACTCAACTTTGCTCCGTCATCTCAGAAGAGTGCAAAAACATGCCAGTCCTTCTATTCTGTATGAGTCTAATGAGCAGCAAACAGAGTTTGAAGTATCAAAGGCAGCTAAGGTAACAAGCATCGCCCTCAAATGAATTATGAAGGAAAGTTGAGTTGCTGTAGTTAGTCTTTGATCTGAGAAATTTAAAGTGAGCCAGTAACATGTAGCTCCCGTATATGTCAGCATGGCCATTAAGAAGTGCTGACATCGATCTGATTAGATGACAAAACAGCAGGCACCTGCGCACTTGTGTGTGCATGCGTTGTGCATCGCCAAATTTCATTCACATCTGCAGCTTCGAGGGTGCGTGTGTTTGCATTAATGTGTTTTCCATGCATGTGCACCGACTCCCTGCATGTGTACAAAGTCTCTTGCAGATTTTAGAGAATTTGGAGGAGTGTTCGTTTTTTTCTTCCGCTGCTTCCACATCTGTGTGTGTGTGTATGTGCAAGAGAGAAAGAGAGGATGACAGAGTGCATGCCTGCGTGGTGTGCTGGCTGTCTGTCCTGCCTTGAGGCGAGATAAATGGCTGAGTGTTGTTGTTGTCCAGAGAGCAGACACTCAGACAGCCGCTCACACATGATTAATTGTTTCCTTGTTGGGACTGGGACCAGTTGACTGTGGCTGGGCCAAGGCCTCCCACCCAGCCTTACCAGACATGTGTATGTGTATGTGTGTGTGTGTTTGGGAGAGAGAGTGATGAAAGGCAAAGACAGTAAAAGAAGAGAAAGAGAGAATGTTATGTCCCTCTTTATGAGTTTGTCTGTCATTGAACTCTCTTTTTAAACATATGCTATTGTTTTAAAGCCGGCCACATAGTGGAGCAGCGGGGTTTTCTGTTGACTGTGGTGAAAATGATCGATGAGGATTGTGGGCACAATTTGTCCTGCAACATTTTTCCGTTCACTTAAATGGAATTGTGCAATTCGAAATATTCAAACAACAGCCATTTTGCTTTGACGTTATGCTCGGTGATAGGAGCTCAAATGCTGTAATGCTGCGTTTAGCATTGCCAATCATGTAGGTAGGCGAGACGTTTACAGATTCTTAGTTAATGGTTAAACATGTTTTTCAAGACCTAACATGAAGATAAAATATGTTAAATCCCAGTTTAACACACAATGAGCAAAGCACTTTGCAGCAAGTTACTGTGACAAGAAAAGATACTACAGTGAATGTCAAAGGTCTTTAATGGACTTTTTCCTGCGATTGTTTTTCTTGCTTGTGCGTTAAAGATGCAGATACTGTGACATGTAATTAACCAGGCTCTAATTACTTGATGCATATGAAACAAGCTCCAGCTTTCGCCTTAATCCGAGCTGCACATTGATTTCTCAGAGGTCAGCTCTGCTCAGGTTGATCTACAGTGATGCAGGGTTTCACTGGAGTGCATGAGTGAGTCTGATGATTGATTAATTACAATTATCAGAGGCCTGATAATTCACCAGAGATGATAATAACATCAAGCGTGCTTTACTGCTCTGGTGGAAAAAGCCTCTCTGGTGTCTAAATGGTCTCTCCCCAGTTAATTTGTCTTCCTTCACTGTCCAATGCTTTTAAGTGCAGCAGGACAGGTGGATGGCTGATGCCATGTGTTCAAATATTGGGAGTTTGGGGGGTAAAAACCAGGACTAAAAAAAAATAAACTCTCTAATTACCGGGTATCATGGGCGTACGGGCAGGAAACGCAGCAGGAGGTGTTGTTGCCACAGACGTCACAGTTAAAAACATGCTGCCATCCTCTGTAGGCCATTTGGCTCAATTGCACATTTAATGATGGTGTGAGGATGACTCACTGATTCACTTTACATTAAACCCTGAGTCACAGCAGCTATTATACCCCCAATGTGTTGATAAAAGAACTGGACTTAACAAAGAGTTGTGTTAAAAAGGTTCAAAACATTCATTTAGTGGCTTTTAGTGGATGCTAGCTGTATGCAACCTAGATTAGGTTCAAACTGGTTTTCACTGGTGAACAAAGGAGTTTGTTTGAACATTTCTAATGATTGTGTCATGGACGCAAAACAAAGGCTTACTTTAACATATTTAAGCCTCAAATTACAGACCTCCAGTTAGAGCTGGGCAATACAGAAAAAAGGTTATCACAATATATTTTTTTCATATCAGTTGATATCGATATATATCACGATATTAAAATAGAAATTTAACAGTGCTTATTGGTAGCATTCTTTTGTATTACAATAAGCTACTGCATTTGTGAGGTCTTTGTGTCTCTTTGAGGTTTTGTCGTAAGGCGTTGCGCTAGAGAAAATTGACTGAATGGTCGGCTGTTTCGGTTGCATAGGCGCCATAACCTTTTGCATTGCGCATGCTCTGCCGCGTGACACTGCTTCAGGTGGTGGAAAAAAAAATTGAGGTATTTCCTGACTTTGAGAGAACCTGTACTCGACATAATTTGCAGTGCAAAACATGGCAGAATGACCATGTTTCATATTGATAACAGGGGAAATTAATTTTCAATATATATCGTTATCGTTTTATCGCCCAGCCCTATCTTCAGTTATGGAGGTGAGCTAAGTGGACATAGTTTCTCCTGATCTATGACTACTCCTGCATTAAAAACTCCTGTAACAGTCCAAAGACAAGTCACAACATGGAAATAAAAGCCGATTTCCACAGCCGAAGACAAAACGTTGTTGTTCTAGTCTAGTCCAGAAGTTCAGATAGCTGAGCTCTATTTTCTGCCTGGGTGAAATCATACATGTATTTGCTGAAGACCTGCGAGACGATAATGTCATAAACTGCACAGCTGAAACAAGGCGCTCATAATCCATCCTGACATCAAACCGAAGTCTTATGTTTTCACAGTGATTCAACCAGCAGGGATGGCGTTAAACTGAAACATACCCATCTGTTTCTTTCTGTGTGCCAGCTTGTCAGATCAGGTTAAAACCCAGACGGCTTTAAGTGACAGTGAGGCCATGGCGTGATCCCACAACGTCTACGCTATCCAGTGTCATGTTCACATGCTTAGATGAGTTTATGCTGGTGTACGGCTGAGCTCTGATGACTCTCTTAAAAACAAAGCCAGTTTCTCATGAAAGACATTGTATCTGTATAAACAGTGAGTGCAACTAGTTGGTGAAATATTTCCATTTATTTATGTTCCCATCAACCACGAGTATGACATTTCAGGTCAGAAGTGGGCGTCAAATGCTCACTGCAGATTCAAAGTTAAGACGTATTTACCTCTGAAGATTAAAGCGATGGTAATGTTCAGCCTGTTTTATGGATTTGAAGTCATTTTGCTGCGATTAGGCTGAGATTTGGAAGGACATGCACGGACTTTGCACGGAAAAAGTCGTTTTTTACTTTGAGCTAAAGTTAATGCTAACCTAAGTATGCAAGATGAATATATGTTATTTAAGAGCATGTCTAAAACCTGAATGAGCGAGGGCCTTTAAGAAAAGCATGCATTAAAATCTGCAGACTATACATGAACTAGATGTATGTGTGTGCAGTCAATATACTCCATCACTATCCACATTTAGTTACTTTTAATATAATATTACAGGAATAATTTTTGCGTCTGAACATTCTGGACTTTTTTCAAAAGGGGGTGGGGGGTAAAAGATTCAAGACAAAACAGGATCATTTTGATGAGAATGAACGGGGCTGGAAAAGTATCCTGTGGTCAGTGCAGACTGGTTAATTGAGGCAGTTAGGGTAGAAGCGACTTAAAAGCCTCCGTCCTTCCCGGTGCTGTTGGCTCTCCTATAAGAGACCCTCAGAAGGGCCCTCAGGTCTTTTGATAGGGCATTCGCCATCATTCTTTAGGGCTGCTCTACCCCTACAATAAACAGGCAGCCCTTTGTCACAAGGAGTAGGGGGGTCTGAAGGGTTGCTCCTCGTTATTATTTTCTAAAGTAATTATACCTTATTATCTGTGTTTACTTTAGCAGGGGTGCGAGCATGCAGGTGTGGGCCATTCCACAGTGGGTTGGCAGTCTCACTTGTGAGCACACCCTGAGTATCTTTTTTTTTTTTTTTTTACTCTCTCCCCTCCATCCTTCCTTGGAGGTTTTTGGGGGTTTTAGCCGTGGTGTTGTAGCCCTGCCGCTAATTTCAGCTCAACAAAAGAAACGTGCAATTAGGGCTATTATAGTAGCAGCTGCATGCTTCCTAGCTGTGCAGCGACGGCTTCATCTTCTCCCGGCTCAGCGGTGAAAGGGTTGGAGAGCAGAGAAGAGCGGGGCCTGCGGCGGTGGAAAGAGAAAGGCAAGATGGTCACAGTATCGTTCAGTGTCTGCAGAAAAGAGAGGAAAATATAGCCTCAGTTGGCTGGTGTGTTCCCTCTGAGCAGACACGGTAGGGACTCTTGCCCACAGGCTTGTGGGCCTTGAGAACAATAGATCTGCCATCTCCTAACATGAAGTGTTATGAAATCGCCTTCACCGCAGCACCAGAGGCTGCTCTCTTGCTTCAAGTCATTCAGTCTCGGGACTGCGTGGGCCGAGGGGGAAATGATTTGCAAATAAGAAAAATGCTTTTTGAAGATTTGAAGAAACAAAGCATATGTTGCAAAATGTTGTTCAACATATTTAAAACGTAATCTGGAAAAAGAAACAAGGAAAGCTTGGAATTTTTTATTACCAAGACCAAACTTTTCAGCCAGAAGGAAAGGACTGGAAAATGCTCCGTTTGATGCAACCTTTCAAGACGTCAAACTATCCACTCGCAGATTGTTAAGGTTTCTCTATGACAGTCGATATCAATCCAAGTGAGCCTGCTCGTATGTGTCAAGGTGAATCGTGTGGGACAACAAAGTGCTCCCACAGATTTACGTCTGGATTAAATGCGATCAAAGAACCTCTACAGCCGGGACACTGAAAAGCCTTGTGATCTTCTAGAGGTTGAATATTGAAGGCCCATTGAGGCCCTCATGGCGTTGAATACAAGGGACCAATCTCATGCTCTCAGCACAAACAAAATAGACACGGGTCCTCCTCTGTTGCTCTCACTTACCGATTTTCTCACTTCACTGACTCCCCAACCCTTAGAATAATCATCAGACACAGGGCCCTCAGTTTGAAGGGCATAAACAGATTTGAACATATGTATAGAGCTTTTTGAGTTCACTTGATAAACATGTGACCTTGCTTCATTGCCCACACTACTCGCCAACAAAATATTTATTTTCTTTATTGACATGCATATCAGCAGCAGCTGGAGCATTGTCTTTCAATCACAATACGAGCTGTGCACTCAGGAGAGCCGCTGGGCTGTGATATGCAGCTGATTGGGATAATAACTAGTAGTAAACAGAGGTTTTGTATTATCCCAGGAGACAAGGAGAACTGTCAGATGCTTGTCAGCGTGCTGTCAGTTGCCAAGGTTTAAACGCTTGACCTGATCAAGCGGATTTCCACTTGCACCTTTTCCATCGTTTGCTGCCAAAATCTGAGAGTAACACTTTCCAAATATAAACTTGCAAATAGAGCTGGAAATCAGCAACATGGAGGAGCAATAAAAAACCTGCAGGGATGACTATCCGTGAGCAGACTGCTCTAAATGTGGCAAAAATAATATCATAATGGCACGATATTCACCCTGGGATAACATCATTGTATTAAAGCAAGTGTTTAAAAAAAACAGTCATTTTTACACGAAAAAAATTCTTCCATTAAAGATCAGTGGGGAGTTTTTTAAACTGTAATTCATATTTACGCCTTTTTATGACATACAAATGCAACAAGATTAACAGTTTTAATATTGTCATCTTTAATGCCTGAAACCAGTGTGAGTGTAGGTGTCAGCTTAGCTAACTGCTAAACGTTTTATGTTGAATATTTACAATAAATTTCTAATTTGGCAAGTGAAAAAATGTGATTTTTTCATTTGTCGGAGGACACTAATTGGATTTTCCCCCTGTGGGACTAATAAAGGAATATCTTCTCTTACACTGCTCACACTGGATAAGATAAGCAAAGCCTCCTTTATCCCCAGGGGATACCAAAATTGTCACAAACCAAAAGTTTGAGACAGGTTTGAATGCAGAAATACTCAGAAATGCAATTTTGCACTTGGTTTTCTTGTGATATGTCCTGTAGCATCAGAAAAATACTATATGAACATGTAGCCAACTAGAAAAAAACATCATTTCATCAGAGTGGGGTTTTTAAGGAATAGGAAGAGATGCTGAAGGAAAAGCAGGAACAAGGATGGGGATTTTATGTAGAGTATGAACTTCAGACATTAGGCTTCTTGCGTGCTCAATGTAGCCATATAAAATTTCTGATTGCTTATCAGTAAAATCACATTCTTAATTGTGTAAAAGTTGCAGAAAGCAGACACTCTCAGTTATAAAACCTCTACATAGGAACAGCATTCAAGTTCTCGTATTAATGTTACCTCGTCTTTCAGGAGCCAGAGGGTACATGTTGTTTTCAGGATGAAAGCTGCTCTCGCTGCCTCGGTCTTACTGGCATCCATTTCACCTCATTAGGACCCTGGGACTGAGAGTCGACAAAACACTGAGAGAAATCATTTTGCCGGGGGAGTGTGGCGGGGATAAATTGGCCTCTGGTTCAGTACAAGAGTCCCCGCTGTGCCAAGCGGAAGAGAAGGGCCTGGCTGGCAGTAGGGGCAGGCCCAGGCAAGGCCGGCTGGGAGGCCCCATGCTGAGACCCCCTCCCTGCCTCTGACAAACACGGCAGTGGATAATCTCTCCTTCAGGGACTCGGCCCTGCGCTGTGGGGCTGAGAGGGAAGGGGGCTGTTATGCAGCACTGTGCAGAGGAACTGCCTCTGTGTGTGTGTGTGTTGCATGCGCCACAAACACACTTGTTCACGTTATGTGTATTTGCACTGTAAACAGCTTACTTGCATGTCTGTTTCTCCCTGAAAATACTGTATATTTCTTTTCTGCAGCATAAAACACTCACTTTGAGAGCTTAACTAAACAGAGCCTAATGTAAGAGTACACGATGATCAGAAATAACACATTCTGCTAAGTAGCTGAACTGAATATACACATATTCATATTTGTGTATATTCAGTTTGGACTACAAATTTGGACGACATATATACATGTCGTCCAAATTTGACCGTCAAAAGGGCAAAAACAAGCCGTCCATCACAGATTAATGTAGGTTACTTCTTAGGTGTAAATCAGCAGAGATTTTCAGCTTTAAAAAGACAATATTTCAGAGATATTTTAGCCCAATCTTGAGTCTTCTGTCCAAAAAAATCAAAACCTCATGAAAAAATTTTGTTTATGCATTCATAAAGAACATGGTGCAAGAACTAATCTGAAGACAATGGACATGGGTGAGCTCGCCAGCAATACCCATCAATTTCAAATTCACTTTGATCACTACCTGTGCTTTATGACCTGGTGGTACAAAAGCAGTTGTAATGTAATTATTTCAAAATACGGCTCTGACAATGTTTGCATTATTACTCAAAAATGCCCTCAAGATTTACTGGCTAGATGGTGAGAACCTGTACGTGTTAAGGAGTAAAGATTAACAGAAAAAAGGGAAATAAATCCAGTTGTAATGCATTAAAAAATTAACATTTATTCCCTAGAAATGCTATTGTCTGAAGATTGTAAGTTAGTCAGCAAAATAACCAAAGGAACTTTATTTCTACATACTTGACTTCCATCAATATTTCTTACAAAAAAAGAAAAAATGAACATCCTCCAAAATCTTCTGCATGTGGTATGTGGTTGACGGGTAATATTCAAATATTAATGTCCATATCCAGAGCCATCCACTACTGACAGGCCTTGTCAGCCGTTATGAAGTCTCCATCTTGTAACCATGTTTTTCCAGCTCAGATCTGTGGGGAGGAAAAAGAAAACAGAAAGATCAAGTCAGCAGAGATGATTACAGGTGGGCGGTAGAGGCATAAGTACCCTCTGCTATTGATTGTGAGAACCATTAAGAGATGGGAGTGAAGGAATATATAAATATTGCATAATGCGTACAGTTATGGATTTGATGATTACATATATGGCAGCTGTGCCCTTTAACAATAATGATATCTTATAGCAACAACTTAATAGCAAGGCTATCATAATTGGACAAAATAAAACAATAGCATATTACTGTCTTAAGTGTACTCAAATAAAAACAGAACAACCACTTATCTACAAACACTTATTGATTACTCAAGTGAGGTGTTGAAAACCGAAAAATCCTAAAAAGTATTACAGCGAAAACTATTTTTGTGTAGTAGTGCATGATTATCACGAGACAAACCCTGCTCAGCTCAGTGGAGTTCAGTAAATGTTTGACTTGATTTGTGTGTGTGTGTGTGTGCCTTTCAGATGATTCAAGTGAAACATGCAGGGTCCTACAACACAAAGAAAACCTCGAGCTATCAGAGAGAAGCTGAATGATGAATAAGACCCAGAAATTTTTATACAAGAAAAACGATTAAAAATAAATCTGTGCTGTGAGAAAAATAACATTTAAGTGTTTAAAATAAATATTTATAAGAGAAGCTGTTCAACAACAAATAGTTTCTATGTCAATCAGCCGTTTTCATGTTTTGCTCAATACCCAAGTTTGAAACATGTTTCTCTTGAACTTAACATAAACCCTTGAGCACTATTGTATTGCAATAATTGATCTGAGGGAGGCTGAGGCTAGCTTCATCTGCATCTTCATCTGCATGGACTGTTTCAAAGTAGAGTGGAAAGGTGGCTATTACATCCAGGTTTCCATCCAACTGGTATAACATAACCATAGTCACAAAACAAGCACTGTTTTGTTCACATGAAATACTATTTATTTCTTTATTTTGACAGATTCAGACATCTGCAGTGTGTTTACTGCAAGTGCTCATAATGTGATAACATTGAAATTGTGATTAATTACGCATCTTTAAGTTTTCTTCTTGGCCAACAATTGAACCTGCATATTTTAAACTTTTTTATTTAATGCTCCAATGAGGTGTAAGAAAAAAATGATAATATTAACAAAAGCAGCTTCAGCCAACAGAAAATAAAAAATTCTCTCTTTAAGTTATTTTACATGGATGTCAATCTAAATATGAAGAAGGCGCCTGACAAGGAGATTCACAGCCGACTGGAGTTGTAACATTTTTCAATGACTTGTCATGAATTGAAAGCTGGACATTAAAATTAAGATCAGCATGAAGATTAGCTGCCCAGCATTGTCCTCAGGGGTCACAAAAGAAAACCAGTCAAACTTAAAGTTTCTCAACGGATCTTAAAGCTATTATTGATTATTGTTGTTGAGAGAGGCGTCATGACCCTGAATTACATCTTTGTGATGGTGTCATGAGATCCATGTCAAAGATTTAGTCCTGATTCATAGTATTAAACACAATTCACTGATCACTGGAGCTGTCAGTGTCTACTCTGGTTAAAAGAATTTAGGTAGTAAATAAAAACACGTCCTAGATTTCTGTCCCTCAGCCTGAGCAAGAAACTATTATCAAAACAAACATTTGAGAGAGTTAACAATGGAAATATTTATTCAATTGTTCCCTTTTTAATCAATTACTATTTGATGGTAACAACATGTCAGTTTGTTTGTTTTAATAAGTTTATGTTCATCAAATAAGCAGATTTGTATCATTAAGAGTTAAACCAAGGCTGACTCATCATCACTACACATGCGAGAGGCTAAGATAAATGCACGACGTATTAAGCTTATAAAGCATGTCCAAATCCTGCTAGTCTGTAATACACAAGCTTAAAAACCACATGTGTGAAGTCAAAGTGTTTGTTGCAGGTTCAGATCACCTCAGCTGGTTGGAGAAATCATCCTCGACGTTGTCATCATCCCAGTTGTCTTCCCAAACATGAGCATCTTCATCCTCGTCCAGCCCCGTCCAGTCTAAGGATACAACACAGTCCCACTTAAATTAAGATTTAAGGTGTGCAACTCTTACATCAGCCGTGTTATCCCAACCTGTCTGACTAAAATAACTGTAGAACTCTGTAACAACACATTGGATCACCTGTGTGGCTAACAGTTTAGCTCGTTAGCTAGCAAACACGTCAGGATACAGATGTAGCATTCGTTAGCAAAACAGCGGAGTTTACGTCTGGAATATAAAAAGACACGATGCCAAACTCACGATAACTGTGACACAAATATATAAACCACCCAAGTCAACCATTAGGTAGGCCTAACGACCTGGTATTTCAAAACTAAAATGCTAACTCATGCTATGGCTACCTTAGCTATGCTAGCTGAGTCACTGTCGCTGGGCCCATCACTGTGAAATATACGTAACAACAGCGTTAAATAAAACGCAAACAAACCCAATGACAGCTTATATTCTGTTTTGATCATTTACCTTCCGCTGGGAATTCTTCAAACTCGTCATCCTCCTCTAGTAAGCCCAGGTCCACGGTCTGTTTCTTGTCTGACATGTTCGCTGTGTTGCTGTTTGCTATGAATGGCTCTCACGCGCCGAGGCTGGGGGACGCTCGAGCTGTTCAAGAGGATACAAGCTGCGGTAACTGCGCAGAGAAGCGCAGCTGCAACCATACTTTATACCGCGAGACAACAACATGCTGCGGGGGTAAAAACTGAATCCATTTCACGTTTCTAAAATTGATTAGCTTTGTGTATATTTGATTAGTTTTTAAAACAAGTGCTTTTACTTGTATTTAAAGTGTTTTCAGTAGAAAAGCTTTGTTCTTTACCACATTTTAAACAGGGTTAAAACAGACAAGTTTTCCATTAACTACAGACCTGCCAGCTGACTGATGGTTACTGCTGAAATCTCATATCTTACAAAGCGAATTTGTCCCATTTCTAATCCAAATATCTTTATTCTTCATTTAATCTATACTGGCTTGACTGGTCCAAATAAAAATCTTAGTTGAATTATTTCAAACAAACATTGTCTTAGTATCTACTTTGAACAACCATTGCAACCAGTTTAGTCCTCATTCAATTCAATGCTATATGTTAAATAGAATTACTATTTCCAGTTAGACTTGCAGTTTTGTTTCTGCAAGTAACTGTACTTTTATTTGAGTCAGAGTGTGGAAGGGCAAAAGTTGTCAGTGGTCAGATCATTTTGATAAATATATTTACTTTTTTCTCTTAAACTATTGGTGACATAAATCTTCCTTTTTTTTCAACTTCTAACATGTACCCTGTAGTTAAGCTATATTTGATCTATTCATTCAGGGGATTTTAAGTCTGCAGTAACTCACTTACCTCACCCTGTTCATGGTAGGCTGTACATCATAGACCCGGACAGCTAATAAAGTTTACTGATGACAAAGTAAAGTGGTGAAAAAATCACAAGTAGTGTACACTTACACCGAGACTGTCATCAAAATTAGCAAAACTTTGAGGCAGACATGGCCCCACCTGCGGAAATGTGCAGCTTAGCTTGGGCACTGGTTCTTGTTTGATATTGGAGTGGCAAAGCTGGCTGGCATCCATTGTGATTAGTAGATTAAAGTGACCTGTAGATGACATACCCCACTTCAAAAACCCTGAACTATCCCTTTAACATTTCTCACAAGATTGACCCGAGTTCTGGATAAATTAAGTATGCACAAATTAAAGTGAACTGGGCATAAAATGTAGCTTTAATTCTTAGTGGTGAGACTCTTAAGAATCTGTCACCTTGAAAGATATACGTATCAAAAGGATTCATTTCCCCTTTTCTACACACATGTTTTCCACCTGCTGTATGTCTTAAATAACAACTTTTAAAAACTATCCAGACTTCCAGTTATAGCCTGTATCTAAGTATGTATCTATGTATGTAAGTATCTGTTTGTTTGTTTCCATGTTTTCAGCACTGACTGTTTTGTCGGTCAGTACTGCGTTGTGAAGCAAAGCTGAGGAAATACTTGCAAATATTTGTGAAAACAGAAAAGTCTTTCTCTCAGCTGCTCTGAATTTCCCGGTCTGTTTCTCTTCCTCTCACTCTCTCTCACACACACACACACGCACACTCTCTCTCACCACCACAAAAGCCTTGTGCAGTCCTCTTCCCTCAAAACATATTCATACAAGTCAGTCAAATTTCAGCAAAGATTTTTCATTGGGGAACAAATGCACATTGTAACCCATGCGGCCTGCTCAAATAATGAAGCGGCAGCCACAGCTTAGGATGTATTTTAGATAAACGAGAGCGCACATTTACCACAAAACCACTTGTACCACAATGAAAATTGCTCTGCAGCTGTCATATGTTGACAGATAGAGCAAACCTCAAGTTAGGCCCAAGGTACTTATTCTATTTTCAAATTATTTTGTAATCATGCTAAGCCTTTACACATGACAATGCCACCACATGTAGAGGAAAGAGGAACACGACACAGAAGGAAAGAGCAGGAAGTAAATGCCTCCGTGTTTAAATAGCCTGCAGTCAGACGTGCAAATGTTTGCCGCAAACTACACGTTTAAGGCTTCAGAGGTTAATTTTTGCTCACAAATTAGAGTTAAGTAGCACTTTGGCATTCAAAAATGAGTAGGTATTACATATATTCTTATTAGGCTGCAAGTAGAAAATATTTTCATCAGAAGCAGATACTCTCTCCATCAGTTGATGAAGATTTTTTATAGAAAAATAAGTGAATTTCCACAAATGAGATCCAGAAGTAGACAAATGATAAAAAATTATTGCTTGAATGAAAAGGATTATTAAATAAGCTGAACAGATTTTTTTAAATATAGTTATTTTCTGCTTCTATTAGAATAACTGTTCCTAACATCACAATAAAATTAAGGCTATATTGTATTTAAGATTGAAATGTTAGAGGCAATCAATTAAAGCTCATATGGGGAGTTTTTGAAGTTTATAAAATAGACTGAAATTTATGTAATTGCCTTTTTATGATATACAAAAGCAAACCAGACCATCAGCCACAATATTAACAATTTCAATATTGTAATTTCTAATGCTTGGAACAAGTGTGAAGGGGTGGTTGACAGCCAAGCAGCTGAAGAAACAGCCCTGTTTTAACATTCTTCATAATAAATATTTCCAATAAATTATCAATTTTGCTGTCAAAAGTCAGAAAACACTACTTAAGCATAGGACAAGGTCAGCAAAGACTTCTCTGTCTACAAGGGGCGCTAAAATTGACACAAACGGAAAGTTCCTCACAGGAGGATTAAATTAACTTGTATTATGGCAAAACTTTGTCTCAGTTTGAATCATATGATTTGTCAGAGAATTTGATGTAAAAATGATCCTGTGACTTTCTTGTAGCTTTCCTCACTCGAGTCCAGCTGAATCTGGTTCCAGTGGCATTCAGTGTCAGGTGCAAGCGAAGCCCTGGGAAGCAGCTTCAGCATCCGTCCAGCATACCTGAGACTGCAGTTACACCGCGCCTGGCGCCTGGAGTCTCCCTGCTCAGGTAAAATAGATGGAGGTGGAAGAAGGGGAGGGGTTAGGGGGGGTCATAGAGGAGAGATCCAACATGGCCTCTGCAGACAGTCTCCACTATAAGTTATGTGTGTGTATGTGTGTGTGTATAGTAGCATCACATTTCTGTCCTTTCACAAAGCCCTCTGGGAAAGGACAGGTCGGCAGCCGCTATAAGTACAACGACAGAGACAGACAGGGGAGGGCAGACAGAGGAAGTCTCCAGCTGAAGCTGCACGGCCAGTCTGACAGTCTGTCCCCCCCCTCTAACCCCTCCCCAGACCTGCTTTATCACAGACTTTGCTCATGATGTAGCCTGGGGGTGGATGGCTAAAAATGGGTGGGGACTGGAGATAGACAAGACTTCTCCCCCTAAATGTCAGAGAAAGTGACAGTGCATAGGTAGACGACCGTTTGTCTGCTGTGTCGTCTGGCTGTATACTTTCTGTACCTGTGGACACTCTGTCTAGACATCCCCTTTTCAGCAGTTACTCTTTTTGTTAGCGTCAAAACGAAGGCTTCTTGAGGTGCCACTCAATCCAAGAGCATCTGCTTGCTTTAGAATACTAAATTGTATTCGGGCTTAATTTTGTTGTCAAAGCCGTAACAGGATACAAGAGCCGAAAGAAATGCAAAAGACAGACAAGAAAGTGATCATGATGGATTAAAGGGGTTTAACTAGACAATTAATGAGGCAAATCCAAGAAAAAACTTGTACGCTTTGCTCCTAGGAAGTCTGCAGAGGGAGCGATATGCTTCCAGGATATGTCTGTCATGATCCTGTATTAAATTTAATCCCAGCCAGTCAGTCAGTCTATGCCATTGTGTGTTGTGTAGAGACCCCGAGTTTTACTTTATATAGATGTTTAGATTCATAGATAATCAAATGCAAAACTGACTCAGGGGAGTCAATGAAATTTACATGGGTGTCAAAAACAAATACAAAGTTAGAAAAAAGGTCCTTGTGTGTTTGTTTATGCTCCAGAATCTTTTTCGGGGGTCTCATTCATTGAGACATCTTTCATGACGAATTTAAGTTTCATATTTTCCCCCCTGTCTGTCTTGAAAAGCTCTGTCATCCTGGGCTTGAGGTACAGTTTGCCAAGAGGCTAATGGGCCTTTATGGCGGTACAATCTGATGCCTGTCCTGGCTAGCCTGCAGGTAATCCTGTCCACCTCGGCGGCTTAGTCCTGCTCGGGCTTAAGTTGCATATTTTGTTTTTATCAGGACACTGCTGATAAATGCTATCAGCGAGGGAGAAATGAAATATGGGGGGTCTTGCTCCATTCTGCCTGAGCCCCTATTGCAGGTAAGAGCCCAGGAACAATGACACCTCTATTGGTGGAGCTGGACTGTCCCTACGCAGGAATAAACTGCATTTTAGTCCCAATTCTCAAAATATGCTTCACTGTTGTTGCCATCACTGATGTGGATTAAAAAAAAATCATAAATCTGGCTCTGCAAACCTTTAGATATTAAAAATTCTTTGCATAATTGCGCAATAATCCTACCGCTTCAATCACAGCAACTCTGCTTCCAGACCCCCAAAATATCATTTAATAAAACCACAAAATGACATGCTAATTTATTTCCAGTAATGTGCGCTAATAGTGTGCTACCTCTGTGTCCATGGTCCAACGCCATGCACCTATACTGTACGTGAAAAGCACTTACACACTCTTACCATAGGTGATAACCCCCTCTGTGAAAAGCACTCTTATTGGAAGTACCTATTATCTGCAAAGTCTATCCTCATGCTGACACCAAGTCATTAGCTTAAGCTGTCCTCGGTGTAAAACCACTGTTAATTTCTTTGGAAGTGGTACCCTGTGAATCGACGCATATTTTCATTGACTGCTGCAAATAGATTACAGATAACTGACCTCAGTGGACCCCACAGATGTAAAAAAATTACACATTGTTAAAAGGCGTTTTCATAAAACTGAGCTCTTAAGTTAGAGAAATAAAAGCACTTCATTGCTATGCAGTGATAATTATTTTTTAATTTGGCTCAGGAAGGTAAGTTGAAACATGTTTTTTTATTCCTTTATGCTTTAAAGCTTTGCCAATGTTCACCTGATATCCATTTGTAATATAGTGACATAACCAGACCAGCAGATATGTTG